ACCTAAGACAAGAAGCTACATTAGATTTTGACTCAAAAAGATACTAAGCACATTTGTGATTATCTGCACAAGAATCAATGCCAGACTGTCTAATCTAGCAGCCAGATGTAAAAAAATGACACCTGACCTTTCAACATGTAGAACATCTTGGCTCAGTTGTCTGTTTGCATTTCTTTATACCTCCATAGATCTAATTTGGATTTTAGAGCAGAACCCCAGAACTCACCAACTTTAACCCATTTTATTTCATTAAATTATTCTAAAACTTTTATTGCACCAACAGCAAGTTGTAGGTGTGTAAATATGAAAATAGATCACTCTGAAAAACAGCCTTTTAATTAAAATTGTTTTTCTTATGTCTTAGTCTGAATGGATTTCTTTCTGTGAGTTGGAACTGAGCTGGGCAAGTATCAAACTGGTCTGTATTGCATGTCTTTCTTTTTCTTTTCTTTGTGCATTCCAGGTTATTACAAGTATACTGTATATTAGTGATGGGTTGAGCAACACCGATGTCGTCACATGAGTTGAGCTCTTACAGCTAAACCCTGTCAGTGCACCCACTGTTTTAAGAAAGTCATGTGACTTTTTTGAATAAACTTTATTAGAAAATGTATATATACAAAAAGCAATAAGTACAATTTGTAATTGAACAAATATAGTAATAATAATTGAGAAATAACAAAATAAAAGTAAAAATAGTAACAGTAATAAAGTAAAGTAACACATAGAATCGTGAAAAGGAATTACCGTACATAAATACTTTCAATTTAGAGCATAAAGATAAATAGATGCAATAGCCTTTTTGTTATTGGAGGAGGACAATTTAGAAAAAAAAGTTGTTGCTTCCTTTAAAAAAGAGATACATGAGAGTTTATTCATAATAGTTTTACATTTGTGCATTTAAAGCTTGGCAAGTGGCAAAAGATTACATGAGAAGAAATGGTCAGAAAGTTATTTTTTTATATTTCATGATCCCAAATAAAACATCCTTAAAATAAAATTCAATTCTGTCATACATATTGTCCAGAATGAAGTGACAAATACGTTGCCATAGACACCTGGTGTACTCACAGGACTAAAAAAGGGTGAGAGATAGACTCTGAGCAAATGTTCAGTTACGTGACCGATGCAGAAATTGTTTTGAACTGACTGACGTACTAAAATGTGTTTCTAATCTTTCAATGTAACGCATCTATTAAAACAAAAAAGAAACTCTGATCTTTTGTGATTTATCATCAAATTAATCAAGAAATATGGAGTAGCCTCAAGGGAAAATAAAGGTTTCAGCCGAGTGGGATTATTTTGATCTCCTATTTGTTTTAATTTTCTTGTTTTGTCGTCCTGTTCCTCTCAGTTATCACTGAACTTATCTGAATTCAAACTGATTTCAAATTTTAAATAAATAAATAAATCCTAGTCCTCAATCATTTTTATTCACATGTTCAATTAAATGTTAATTGTTCACATTATTTATGGATTGTATCTAAAAATATCAAACAGTCTTAAATCCTTTTATAGGTCATCAAATCAGTGTTTAGTCTGTCAGAGTTTGCCTGTACTGATTTTAAATGTCCAGCAGGTGTCAGTATTCAATAACAATATCAACACAGTATCAGTACAGTTCAAGAACCACTGATTTCTTATAGATTGGCAAAGAGTAGAAACGCTTAAATGAGAAACTGCTCTATCTCTGACTCCATGGATGTAATCGCCCCCCCCCCCCCTTTTTTTTTTGCAGGCAATTGTCTTGTATCGTGTCATTTTATTTCTATTAAACTCTGCTTGTCTGTGCATAGTGTATATATAAATAAATGAATAAAAAACAAATCTAAAAATGTATGTGGCTGTATCTTCTTGTAAATGATTATTTTTTACATATATATGCACTAAATTAAATAAATAAATGAACTAATTAAAGCTCGTATTATACGTATGTTCTAGCAGAGAGCTGGTTGAACCAAAAAGACTTATCCTAAATAAATTGCAATAAGGTAAATGATTACATTCGCTAAAGCAAAAACAATCCGAGCCATTTTCTTTATTTATAAACGATCCAGTTTTAGAAATCAGATATCTTTACACGTCAAAAGGACGCGCGTTTTTAGAGCAAACATACATTTCTATAACTCACCTGATATCGCAGTTTGCATTTCCTGAAAAAACAGAAAAAATGACATAATTCTCATTCCGGCATTTTCTGTCCACATCTTTATCCTCTCAAAAAATGTTCACGAGTGAAACTACTGTAGAGTAACTCTGCTCCACGCAGCTTCAACCCTTTTGAAGAGGAAGAGATTGAAGCGCTGTTATAAGGTTTGAAGCTCTCCCCAGTTATGCTCTTTTTTTTCTCCAATTAACTTTATTGAAAAAAGTTGTATAAACAATGGTACAACAGACAGGTGGTCTGATATATAAGAAGACATATAGGAATAAAATGTAAACACATCATTCTTTGACAAACTTCTCATAAATATCTGTGGATGTGGTGCCTTTTTAACAGTTAATTAGTATTAAGGAGTTAATTTACTAATACAAGCAACTTCTCATGTTGGGAGAAGTTTTGGAATATTTACATTTGTCCATGAAAAGGGTAACTTTAATATCCCCATGGACAAAATACAAAATTACACTTCTACAGTCAATTACAATGTTTATCTTCATTTTAGACATTGTGTACTGTTCAAATTAAGCCCAGAAATCAATGGATTGGGCATAGCGTTTGAATAAAGGAGATCAGGTTTCTGGTTTTTAAAACTGCATTTATTTGCAGCATCAAAAAATTTTGAAAAATAAAACTTTTTCAGATTTATAGTGTGTAAAATCTAGGTGTGAACCTCTCTTATCTTATTGTAAATACAATACTTAAAAGGCATTAACCAGGTCTTTTTTTAGTCAGTATCCATAAAGTTGTAATCCCAAAATGCTTTCCTTCTTGGACTAACTCTCTGCTTTTTATAAAAAAATATTTCCGGTATATGTATGTTGTTATATTTTGAATCCATTATATTACACCCTTATTAAATCATCAAAGAGGTTTCTAGAATTTCCTTCTTTCATCCGTGGAATATTGCAAAAAATTTGAAATTTCTTAATCTTATTCTTAATCTTATTCTTTACTATCAGGAAGTCCACAAACTTTAGTTAAAGCCTTCAGCTGATCCAAAATGCTGCAGCCAGAGTTCTGATGAAAATTAAAAATAGAGATCATATCTCAATGATGGAACCTTCCAGATGACTGTGGACATAGATCTGTCCTCCAACCTTCAACCTGCTTAGAGCCAATCACACAGTTTTAGTTCCTTATTTATTCAGCAGAGTTCTGTCATATTTTTATATGACAATTAAAGAAAATCACTAGGTCTGTTAGACATAATAGGTGTCACATATTTAAACATAGCACATCCTTTTGATTAGGATTAAACAATGAGCATAATTTTTTGGGGGAGAATTAAATATACATATGTAGAGGATTCAAATACTGCTTATAGATGTCTTTTTATATTCAGAAATGATTATCAACGCTATCTCTTCACCTCACAATCGATCACAGAAATCAACGACCTTATCTGTCCTCCTGTTTGCAGAATCACACAGACTAGGGATTTAACAGAACTTCATGAGAAAACATTGATGTGTGATAAGAGCATTATAGAGAGAGCATTATACTGCATATTTAAACAGCCACTTAGTATTTACTGTGTAATTTGAGAGAGGATTATATATAATGAACAGAATCTGAGGACCCAGAATGCAGCCTGAATACAGAGTAATGGTTTAACAGTTTATTAAATATAAAACTGCAGCAGAACATAAAAGAGGTGACTGCAGCTGGATCTTTCAACCTCTGTAGTGAGAGAGGAAATATTAATGACCAGAAAATGGCCGATGGAATGAATTCAGACTGAATTCTGGGTCACAGACCTGGCAAGCATTTGTATCCAAACACAGAATCACCGATTTTGCCAGTCAGTGTGTGATATTACAGATGCTCGTTAAGAAGTTAGGCCTGGACATCTCCAGGGAATCCTTCTGTGTTTGTTAAAGGTATGTCCAGGGAAGTAAAAGGGGTCAGAATTGTAAGAGCAAAATTATGCAGGAATAGCAAAAGGGTAAACCAGAGTGCCTGATTCATGTGCAGGTCCAGGGTCCATGCCAGGTTATCCAATTTCCAGAGAGAATCCAAAGGGCTACTAAAGGGAGGATCAGGGCACAGTTCCATGCCCAGTAACAGGCAGGCTTTCAGATCAGACAATGGTTCATGTAGGCTCTGGTAATAGATTAAAAAGACAGGTAAGGCAAACAGGCAGGAAGTCAGGTGTTAAAATGCTGGAATGGATCTCACCGGGTTGCTCAAAATAATCTGGCACTAATGTCTGGTCTGAAGGCTGACTATATACTGATGGTGCAGGTGGATCAATTAGAACGGGCGGAACTAAGCAAGTGTGTCTTGTGAGGAATCAGACAGGCTTAGTGTCAAGATTATGACATTAAATGAGGAGGAACCCAATGGAATGATGCACAGGCGGCTGCTGCGGGGCGGCTCTCTGCAGAAATGGGAGAATACAGATCAGTGACTGGATATGGAGTTTAACACGACTTGGAGCAAAGTCACTTTCCTGATTCAAAGTTTAGTCCGTTTGCTGAGGTTTGACCGCAGTAGCGGCGGGAGACGCCCCCAGCGTTCCTTGAGAGCGCGCAGCAGACGCCGAGCAGCAACAGAGTCCAGAGGGGAAATCCAAGGCCGAAGTCAGACGACAGTTCCAGGTTCAGAAGCCGGTAGAATCCAGGATCAGACAGGACAAACAGAGCAGACAGGGGCAAGGCAAAAAACTCGAAATCCTCAGGGCAGAAACTGGTCACTATCAGGGAAACAGGCAGACTACAGATTGCTAGGGAACGTATCTCAAAAACACAAGAATAACCCGGCGCTGATGGGAGGCAAACGCACAACTTAAATAGTAGGGGAACCAGGTGGAAATGATCGGCAATAATCAGCCGCAGAACCAATTAGACAGGAAAGCAAGGAGCAAAGGAAAAAACCAAACCATCAGCGCCGAGATCATGACAGGATAACTTCTTCTTGCAAGATTAGATTAACCATGCAACAGCATACTGTAACTTTGCCAGAGAGGAAAGTGTTTCATCAGCCTATCTATTGCATCCCATTGTTCTTGAACAAAAGTCAGATAACATGAAGTGATTCTTTTGATTTTCGGGTCATCAAAGTCAACCATCAAGAGATCTGGCTTCTTGGGGCATTGATCTTGTGGGCTGAATAAGAATTGTGGTCCTGATATACAGTTTTTGTATTTTCACTTGAACTCTCTGTTCTCCACAGACATGATCAGCTGGATTAATGGGGATACTGATATTCCTCCATTGTGATGTTTTAGTATCCTCTCGGATTTTTGAGACTCTGTAGACAACTAACCTTTTGAATCTTGTACTCTAACTGTTTCATTATTTTAGCACTAGAGTGCTAACAGTCCAAAACACACAGTCACTAAGCTCCAACTTCAGCTCTTTCCTGAGAATCCTGTCCATTTTAACTGCTAATGTGACTGCAGTCAGTTCCACTCTTGGAATAGTTGGAGCTTTAACTGGTGCAAACCTTGTCTTAGCAATCATCAGAATGACTTGGGCATCTCTTTAATCATTGCGCAGTAGCAGATAACTTGCTGTTCCCCAGGTATCCTCGCTAGCATCAGCAAAGGAATGTCGCTGTGCAAAGACTGAAGAACCAAACAGTTTTTTCTATGAAACATCTGGAAACTCCAAAATTTCTATGAAGTTGCAGACTTTCAACCCATTGTTTAAAGTTTTTTACAATGTTCTCTGGAAGATTTACATCGCATTCATATTCCTCTCATAACAGATTCTCAACGATTATTTTGACAGGCAGTACCACAGGAGCAATGAATCCCAAACAATCAAAAACTAAGCTAATCAGGGACGGCTGGCCTCTTCTGGTGTGCGATTTAATTTTGATATTGATGTTGAATTTAAATGGATCATTCTTTAGTGCACCATTAGATTCCTAATGCCCTCTCCATTGGCAAATTGTCCATATTTAGGTCCAAGTCCTGAGAAACTGGCACTTTTTCCTCTTCAGGAATAGCATATGGCAACTTCTCACTGCTGCTTGACCATTTTGTTAGTAAAAAATCCACCTTTTGCCAGGTACATGTCAAGTCTCGCAAAGTCAGACTGCAGTGCCTTCATCAGCAATGGATTTAAGACAGTCACCCACATAAAATAATTCATTCTTTTTACTTTTTGAATGTTTTAGCTGCTCCTTGACATAACTCCTCTTCAAAATGTGTTTGCAATGCTTGGTGAAGAGGTAGCTCAAAAGATGTGGACATCTTGTGTTCTATGAACAGAGAAACCAGAGAAGGTCTTTATCTTCACTGCTGACTCTAACTTGGCCACCTCCTGCTGTCAAAAGCGCATGGTAACCCCTACAAGATAGCTTGTCAAGTCTGGTCCTTGAGGAAGCTGTCGGTTTGATGATCTTCCCCCAAACCTTGCTGCACAGTCAAAAACAACATACAGTTTTTGTTTAACTGGATGTCTGACTCCGTGGTTTGGCAGATACCACATGTGTCTTCCTGCAAACTTTGCTTCAGCTTTAGCAAGTTTCACAGACTTTCCTTGAAAGGGACATATTCCTCATGAAACTTGACATCTTTTGAAAACCTTTTTCTTAAAATTGAATGCATAGTGCTCTACAATAAATTGATTGTTTGGCAAAGACAGGGACTTATCCCTAATAGGAAGGTAAATGATTATCAACAAGTGTCTTCTTTTACCATTTATCTATCTTCATTTTTTATTGTCAGAAAAGTCCTGTTTAAACAGCAGTTGCCAAAGTCCTTCGAACGTGGGAAATAAGATTCTGTTCGTATTCACTTCTTTATTTCATTCTGCTAAAGCGGTTCCATCTCTCAGTGGTCCTCAAACAACTTGGTCCATTTTCAACAGTACGGATTATTTCTATTGGCTCCATTGCCTTGGGAACATTCGCTGCTATAAGCAAGCCAACTTCAGCTTTGACTGTTGGAAGCTTTACATCCTCCAGGTGTGGCTAGAAAATAATGACCTCCTGATATGGAATATTCTCTTTAGCCACAGGAATGTTTGCCTGTGAAAA